AAATAAGAAATAACAAGTGTTGGCAAGATGTGGAGAAAAGGGAACCTTATGCACTACTAGTGGGAGTGTAATTGGTAAAGCCATTAAGGAAAACATTATGGTTTCACAAAAAATGAGAACTAGGACTACCATATGATCCCACGATTCCTCCTTTAGGTATTTATCAGAAGGATATGAAAATACTAATCTGAAAAGACATATACATCTTTACATTTATTATAGCATTATTACAATAGCCAAGATGTGGAAATGATCTCTATGTCCTTGGATTGATGAATGCATATATATTGTCTACACATGCATTGTGAAAGGGTTCCCTCCATCTAGTTAACTAACACACCTATTGCTTCAGAGTTTATCTTCTTTATGTATAAGAGTATTTGTTTTACTCTTTTAGCAAAGTTCAAGTACACATACAGTGTTAGCAACTACGGGCACCATGTTTTACATTAGAGCCTTAGATCTTTTCCATTGTATAGCTGTGTACCTTTTTAACAACTCACAACTTTATTTCCCCCATCCCCAGACCTTGGCAACCATGTTTCTACTTTCTCTTTCTATGAGACTGACTTATTTTCCACATGTAAGTCACAGCAGTATTTGTCTTTCTCTCTCTGGCCTATTTCAAGGAGTCTAATGCTGTCAAGTTCCATTCAATTTGTCCCAAATGGCAAGATTTTCTTCTTCCTCATGACTGAATAATATCCCACTATCATGTGTCTGTGTGTGCGTGCACACAGATTGCCAGTTATAAACACACACGCACATATATCTAAAATACACACACATATATATAATTATGAATTATATATATAATTCATCTATATGAATTATTTAGTCTGTTCAAAAAAAGTCCAGTCATTTTTAATATAATAAGAATGGTTTTCACGATATTGATGTAACCTGAAAGCCAAGGATAGTGGACTGGAATACATATGCATGTGTGAACAATAATGACTTTGCTATACTAGTCAGTGGGGTGGTAGACACTGAGTGAGCATGTGTACTGTGTGACCATCACATTCAAAAATGATTGAGTGAGTAGAGCAACAAGTCTGCGTCAGATTTTTCATTAAACTTGAATATTTCTCTGTGGAAACTATTTGGATGATTCAGAATGCCACAGCTATGGGTAACTGGTGACTGGCAACTATATCACAACAGTGAGCCCACTCATGCATCATATCTCATGCAGAGTTTTTTGGTGAAACATCAAATCACCCAGGTGACTCAGGCACCCTACAGCTCACATTTGGCATCCTGTGACTTCTGGCTTTTCCCAAAACTAAAATCACTTTTGAAAGAGAAGAGATTTTAGATCCATGATGAGATTTAGGAAAATACTATGGGGCAGCTGATGGCATTTGGGAGAACAGTGTAAGGTCCCAAGGGGCCTACTTTGAAGGGGACTGGGGATCAATGTTTCTTGTATTTTGTATCTTCTTCAATAAAAGTCTCTTTTTTCATAGTACATGGCTGGATACCTTCTGGACAGACCTCATACATGAATCAAATAACCATGATGTACATTTTAAATAGGTTAAAATATTTTAAATCCATTATACCTCAAAGACCTGAAGTAAAAAAATAAAAAGTAAACTGCATAAAACAAAAATGAGCATAGGAAAAAAATCATTTTTCTTGAAAAAATAGAGTTTATGTAGGTTTTGGCTTTCTATTTAAAAACATATTTGATACATACTAAATAATTTCATTTCCTACAAAATAAAATATAACACCAAGCACTTTTCTGATATTTAGGAGCTATCAGCTTTTGTAAAGTTACATTTTCTTCTAATTTATTTATTTATTTGCTTGCTTATTGATTTATACTGTTTATTCTATTACAGTTGTTCCTGCTTTTTCTCCCTTTCCCCACCTCCACCGAGTCCCACTCTTTCCTCTCCCTGGGTCAGTCCCCATAGTGTTGTTCTGCCCATGGGTTGTACATAAAAATTCTTTGGTCAATCCCTTCACAATCTCCTATCTCACCCCTCTGGCAGCTCTCTGTTCCATGTATCTAAGCTACTGTTATATTTTGTTCATTAGTTTATTGTGTTCATTAGATTCCACAATAAGTGAGGTCATGTGTTATTTGTCTTTCACTGACTAGCTTAATTCACTTAGCATAATATTCTCCATCCATACTCTTGCAAAATGTAAGAGTTTCTTTTTTTTTACTGTGTGTAGTATTCTATTGTGTGAATGTACCAATAGTTTTGGTATACGTAAAATACACATAGAATTTTATTTCTCATAGTATTGTCATGACTATATGTTACTCCCATTTTACCAAAGATACTGAGTCTTACATATTTAGAATTTGTTTTGAGTACTTGAATTCACTTGTGTAAGGCTATATTTGACAAAATTCAGTAATTACTGTGTTGTGCTACTTATGAACATGGATATAATTATAGTTTCCTATCCCTTATCCTTTAGTGTAGGGTTTTAGAATGTGTGCACTTAAAATTAAATGGCCCTAAAGACCCAGCAACTTAACCCATAAGACATTGTCTTTTACAGAATGAAATCATAACCAAATTTTTTAAAATAGTCACTTATTTAAATTAATAGATTTTGAAGTTCTAAAGTACTTTTTGAGCTATACTGTTGCACATAACAATTCTATTTGTAGATTCTAAGCATAAGGCAATACCACATAATATAAAGTACTGAAATTACTTTTATGGGCTATATGCATATTCTAATATTTAAGCAGTAATATTAGAATCAGTTTTCTGAGCACTCTACCCTACTCGATTCTTCTCTATTACATTCTAGCATAAATTATGATAAATTTTGATATAAGGCATGGTCTTTACTGTATGCCTTTATGCTAAGGAAACATCATGAATTATATTTTTGGGTGTCAGACTGACCATGTCTTAAGATTGATCTCAAAATGTTGACCACATTAGAAGCTCAATGTCTCTGTGGGTTTTTATAAAATCTTTAACAAGTGATGAATTATATAGCTTGTGAGTGATTCAGCCATGGGAAGTGAAACCAGATCTGTGATTAAGAACCTATTTTTGGATTTGCAGGTAAATTCCATGGACTAACCTTTTGATTATGGCCAGCTATTTTTACTTTTTTAAGATTTTGTGTACTTATTTTTAAAGAAAGGGAAGGAAGGGAGAAAAAGAGGTAGAGAAATATCGATGTGAGAGAGAAACATTGATTGATTGCCTCTCACACACACCCCAACCAAGGACACCGCAACCCAGGATGTGCCTTGACCAGGAATCGAACCAGCCACCATTCACTTTGCAGAATGATACTCACCCAACTAAGCCACACCGGTCAGGGCAAGCCAGCTATGTTTAAATCATCATTTTGTAACTTCCTTAGTGTACTCAAAAATAGGCCAAATTAATTGAATGGAGAGTGACTGAAACTTGTCTTCATGTGGTACACTTTACCACATATATTTAATATCTTACAGTAGAATCAATTCTGATGAATCTTTAAAGCTAATGTCTAAAAACTCAACTGTCTCTACCTAGAGACAGTTGAGACTAAGTCATATATTAGGAGATATTCTGCCTTTATTCAGTTATCATTAATTTGCATCATAAATCAATCTCTACTAAGATTAGTAACTCTAAATGAAGAAACTTGTGACAGAAAAGCTCCATAATAAGGTCAGAGAGAGCTAGTATCTTATTTAACTCTGACCCTTTGACAACAGCAGGACACTTGGGTGCATTTAGCTAATTTGTTTTTGTTTTAATGCTAAATCTTCAGAACACATACCCTGGTGAAAGAGCAGAGATAGGGAGTCAGGTAGTAGGTGAGTAAAGGGAGAAAAAATGGGGAAACAGTGGAGGAAGAAAAGGAGCCAAGAAGGGAAGGAAGAGGGGGGGAAGAAAAGGAGTGAGGGAATTCATTTGGAAGTATCACATCACCTGGAAATAAGAAAGGATGCTTTCCCCAAGTAAATCCCTACTGCATACATGTCAGACAGGCTTCACAATTCAGCGCCACCGCTTGTTCACAGTTTGAACTGGGCTGCTGTTGACTACAAGGGTTGTGTTTGAAGAGTAAAATGGGAAGGCAACAGGATTTTGAAGAGAGCTGACTTTTACTGTTTTGGAGATTTTGAGAGTTGAAAATGGTACTTCCATTACTGAGTTGAATATATTTTAATTTAAAGAGATAATTAATTGTAGCTGCAGAAATGGGAAAGATTTCTGCTTTCTTTTAGTACTGTCATTTTAAATTCTCCTTGATGTTTGTAACAAAAATATATCTGGCATTGCATACACTTACTAATGTTAGCTGTTTTTTTTAAGCGTAAACTTAAAATATCAAAAGACCATTTGTATCCCAATTATATCTCTTATGATAATCATTCTCCATCTTTTTTACATGTGGCTAATTACAGAGCTGTTCTTTGGGGTAAAGAACAGTTTACTCACTTGCTCATCAGTCAAGAATAATTTTATAGTGCCTGGTAGTATGTGTCAAGTTAATTTACAAACAATATTATCTAATGAGTAAGGCTAAAAAGTGAATAACAATTGATAGGATCATGTTTCACTTTATCAACTGCAATCATTTGTATGTTTGGATTATGTCCATTCAATGTGAGATAGCCATTACTATCTTTTTATAAGAAAATGCTCCTCAATTTTAAAAGTAAATTGTATCCTCTGGAGTTTCTTATACTGGGAGCATATTCCTACAAAATTTTCACAGAAGATCTGTTCAATATGGACAAAGCCTTGGTATATTACTGAATGTAGCTGAAGTAAAAACAGTGTTTGTTAATATCAGGTTAATCACTACAGATCGTACCAACCTCTCAGAAAGTTCTATTTTGCGTAGAGTACTATTGAAATAAGAATGATGTCCTTTCGTTACTGTTGTACAGTTTCAATACACATGTTCTAGCTGACTTCTGAGCACCAAAGCCCACTTTGTGTGTACCTTATTTTTTGTGATAACTGTCCCACCTTAATTTATTAATAATTATTTTTACTCATTCAATACAGGTAATGGATTAGGAATTAGAATTGTGGGTGGTAAAGAAATCCCTGGACATAGCGGAGAAATTGGAGCCTATATCGCCAAGATTCTTCCTGGGGGAAGTGCAGAACAGACAGGGAGACTTATGGAAGGTAAGAATAAGGATTTCAAATAAATTAAAATAAATGAACTCATATAAATATATATTAACTTAATATGCATATTCCTCTTTTTTGATGTCTAGGAAATCCTTTTCTTATGGTTGGTCATGAACCTTTTGTATAGTAATATAAAAGAAGATAAGTCCACAACTATATTCATTTTATTTTCAGTTGTATTTTTTTTTGGCAGTTGGTTTGTTATGGGAATATTTCTTCTTTAAGAAATAGTAATTAGTCAAGATTTTTTACTGACTGGGGCAATATTATAAATAAAAGATACTTTATTATAGGTATTAATGTTTTGTAAATTCCAATAGAAATTATATTGAAATCAGCACTATAAAAATATCTGATGATTCAGTACATGTTCAAGTCAAGTCAGCAAACTATGGACAAGCCAAGGGCCAAATCCATCTACTGCCTGTTTTCATAAATATTGTTTTATTGGAGCACAGCCAGAATCATTTACATATTGAATATGGATGTTTTCCACTGTGATAGCAGAACTGTATTCACAAAAGAGATAGCATGGTCTACAATGCCTAAAACATATACCCTTTGACCCTTTACAGAAAAAATTTGCCAACTTCTGTGCTAGATACTATCTACTTTAGATAACAGTCACCTCGTTACACCATAAGCATTTTAGTTTATTTTTATTTTATTTTTTAATTTAATTTAATTTTTCCATCAACATTTATCCCCCCATACCCTCTCCTGCCTCCACCCACTACCCCTCTCCCACAGTCACCACAGTGTTCTCTGTATCCCTGAGTTCTTTCTCTTTTTCTTGTTTGCTTAACTTCTCCACCCCCAGTTCCCCAAGCAGTCATAAGTATTTTAAAATAGTGAACTCTACAATGTATCTAATAGCCCATAAAGTTAATTTTTGATCAGTTTCTTTCACTAAAATGTTACAGCTTGAATCTCAAAATGCATAATGATAACTTTTACTTGTAAATTAGATGATGAAGTCATTTGCATTTTTCAAACTATAGCTTATAATTTGGAAGTTTTGAGTGATATGTTTATAATGAACAATTTTTGTCATACAGTAGTCTCAGCCAGTCCTTTTATTGTAACTGTAAATTAAATATTTATTTGAAATGTGCTTTTCTGTCATTTTATAATTTAATAAAATGTCACCTGTTACTGCTTAATTATATTAAATTAATTATTATAATTTTTAATTATATTAAAATTATTCACTGTCATTGTCATTAACTAATAGTATTGGAATCCACCAAAAAGTATGTGGGTATTTTGATAGGCTATTAGAATAAACACAGACTTGAGGAAATGTTTATTTATCACAGTGTTCTGCTGGCACTACCTTGTACACCTCTTTCCAACTTCACACTCAGTGTCGTCACATTGATGGCTTGAATTGGCTACAGTGAGAGTATTTATAACATGGAAATAGGCAAATGCTATAAACCAGTCCATTTTCATTTGTTTATTTGGTTGTTGGTTTTCAGAATTCTACTTACCAGGATATTACCAAATATGTTGCTGAAAGCATAATATGAAAAATATTCTAATAGTATTCATAAAATAGGGAAGGTTGGAAGAGATAGCCAGACAGCTAAATGAAGGACTAGAGGCTAGACTGACTGTGAATGAAGATGTAACAGTCACGAGTGGAGCACTGGGTTTGTATGAGTTGTTTATGAGTGTAATACTGCCATCTCCAGTGCTACTCTTGTTGCGTTGCAATCTGCTTAAGATATAGGAATTGAGACCCATTTTTAAGGGTGGTAGTGACATGATTGTTCTCATATAACATACTCCAGACAAAAGTGAACATGCTATTTTATTTTAAAATAAAATTTGCAGCAATGACTGTGCCGGATGTAATTTGACAAGAATACTTGAATGACTTAAAGATAAAATTTCATACCCTTTTTTGGATTTACACCATGGAAACAGGCAAGTGCTATAAATTGTGATGATTTTATACACAATTTCAACAAAGTATACTGTGGCCAGGGAGTGCTCTTTGCACTTGGTAGCTTATATGTCTGTTTTTAAGTGCCTAAATTTAAAAACAGATATAATACAAACTTATTCAAGGAAAAAAATTGAAATGTACCTAAATATATATTTGTGATTTTACAACTCAAAGACCACCACTGAAGTCCTCATCGTTTTTGAAACTAGTAATTTTGTAGTTTATCTAATTGGTTTAAGTGGGAAATAATTAATAACTGTGTACATATGATATGTTTTTATTTTATTAATTATGCTACTTATTAATTTTCTAAAAGCTTTGCCAAGGTGCCAAGTCAGGCCTTCTTATGAGTATATTTGCTCTGGTCAGAGTCCAGTTCTTTCATAACCTATATCTATATTTCTTATTGATGATTTCCAGCTTTGCTTTACATATTCTTACAACACAGGTCTTTAATAAAACTTAGTAATATTTCTATCAGGTTTATGATATTATCTTGCTGTCAATATTTAGGTCCTGATTTTGAAACATTAAGTATTTTGAAGACTAACTTTGACATATGACATCACTTATTTTCTCCCATCCATATGTTCTGTGCTACGAGACTCAAATGATGAAGGTTTATTCTTTTTGTGTCCAAAGATGAACTGACTAGAAGGCCATTGGCCAAATGACTCTTCATAAGAGTCACTGTGATTAGACCAGTGTATTCTCTGGATGTGTGTGTACAGTGTGTGCATAGTTATATATAGTTTTTAATGTATTATGATTTTTATTTGTCTATAATTATGTTTCATTTATACATGATATCTTTAGAGTCCTCAGCTTCAACCCCTAATAGATTATCAATAATGTTCAAGTGTAGATTGGTTGAGACATAACTCTACTTTTTATGCCTGATGTGAGGAATTTTTGTAATAACACCGATTTTTGGTCCCTGGAGTTTTGTTTTTGTTAAAATTTTTCAAATACTTTTTATGGCTGTTGATTTTTTTTTTAATTATTGAAGGCAATAAGGATGGCTAATTTCAACAGTATGAGTTTAATTATTTTCTAAGGAAAAATTATATGTCTAGTTTATGAATGGATTGATGGATAGATAGATAGATAGATAGATACAGATATGTTTGTGCTTCTGTGACTTAGTTTCCCCATCTGTGTAATAAATTCCAGGTAGACATAGGAATTGATTTGACGTCTTCTGGCTGTATCTTTCTGCATTCATGAATACAAAGGTATATAGACTGAGCCTTTGTGATTCAGTTTTTTTTTCTAGCTGATTTAAAACATGACTGACAATTGGTTGACTATAGAATTCATAAACTCTGCTTTTTTCCTCTCCCAACTATACAGCTGTTGTTCAGAAACAGTGTGAATCTGCTGTGTTTTCTGTTTGGTCATTTCTCCTGTAACACGCTGTACAGACTCATGTGGGCTGACATGTTAACACTCTTGCAGTGCTTGATTTGCATGGACTCTGCTCCTTGTTAATTTGGAGGAGAGCAAGAGTATCTTCCAATTTCCTCAAGCTTTTTAACCTCTGGATTTAAAACATACTGACCAATCATGTAGGTTATCCAATGTTCATAAATTAAATATTATTCTGAAAGTAATCATTTATGTAACATTAAATGGATAAGAAAAAATCCCAAGTATAATTTCTGAGTCACTGCTCTGGTTATTTTTTGAAAGAGTTTTATTCAACCCTTTTTTGAAAAATCTTTCTGAACAAGGCTGTCTCATTAAATAGTCTTGGAGAATTTTATTTTCCGGAATTCTGAGAATTAGTAATAATTGTTACTATACTCAGTAAATTAGGCTATACTCAAGAAATTGGTTTCAAAACATTTCTAATAATACTTTGTATACTATCTCCTAAAATAAAAATTACATAAAGAGTGTCCTATTAATCAATATTTCCTGAACCAATCTTTTAGTATTACAACAATCTACAGTGATTTTCTAAAAGAACTGTGGCAATCAGGTACTTGAAGGATCCTTATCTTCTAATATTTTAAACTTTATTTCCCAGGAACATTTAGTAAACATTCTTAACGAAATACTGAACAAAATAATGGTCTTTTCATACCTGTTATTCTTCCTTTCAGTGCATAAAATTGGTCTTTGTTCTGTTGAGAAAATGAAGGCAAAGATCTGGAGAATTAAACTACAAATCTAATTAAATTTCTAAAGTGCCATTTCTGGGTATTTGCTTTGTCTAAAAATTTAATAATTTTAGAATAATGTCAGGGACATGAAATGTTCATCAAAATTGAGATTTTGAATGATATCCAATATTTTCCCATTTGGATCTTTGATATTGTTACTTCATTTTGAACTAATTTGAACATCTAAAAGTACAACGAATATATGGACTTTGAATGCATATTTATAGCTTGCCACTTCCATTTTAAATGTTCACCCTTAGATAAATGATTATCAACCTTATTTATTTTATAATATCAAAACAAAATTCAGTATACTCAACACTTTAAATAATGGCTTCAAAAATTAGATGCTTCCTGTGTAATATGCTTACTTTTCTCTAGACTTTTACCTGCAGAAACTTACTGAATAGCATTATAATTTTAGGAAGTTTTGAATTCATGGCATGGTTTTAAAATTACACTTTCTAGAAATAACTTTTAATATATTATCCTCACATCAGAGTTTCATCCATCTCCAAATATGAGGAGTCTATAATACAATTCTCGGTATCTTATGAGAAGCACACACTTTATTTTTTATAAGACAAAGACCAGGTTCAGTTCTTCTTGATGCTCTGTAGTTTGTGCATATATCTGTTGTATTCCTTAACACTCAATTTTATTTGCTGCATATTCAGTGCCTAGCACAGTACCTAATAAAACAAAGTTTCAAGCCCTATATGTAGAAATTAGTAGTAATTTCTTTTCAGTTACACAAATTGGGTGCTTATTAAGATGTCATTCCTCATAGGAAATAAACTGTGAAACAAATAAAATGATGCATGTAGTCACATTCTACTATTTGTAAAGAGCCAGGTACTCTTGAGACATCG